TAATTTCTGTCTTTGGATGTTGACTTCAAGGTACATGAAACATATCAAAACTTACCCCCAAAAAAAAAGAAAATATCAAAAAAAAAAATTATAAATAAATTTTGGATCATAGGGTTATTTCAGTTGTCACAGCGAGAAAAGAAGAACCGGGAAATTTTTAATATGATGGAATCATGACACTTGTCTTATAAGCCCATTATTTCTGAATGCAGGTTGTTGATGGTTTCATCAGCCATATATACAGAGAGCAGAACCGGGTGGCAGACCTCCTAGCTAAAGAGGGAGCAAAGAACAAGTTTTTGACAAACCAAAGATATTTTGGTAGTTCCTGCGGTGTTTGCTAATGATGCAGTAAGGGCAGACATTTTAGGAACTACATTTGATAGAAAAACTACGGAATGTAATATTGCTAATATTTTTGGATACAATGCTGGCCACCTGGACAACTCTATAAACATGATTATAATGTAATTATTAGTTACTTATGATTATCTAGTTCACCAAAAAAATATGAGAAAAGAAGAAAGCGAAATAAAAAAATTAATTTAAAACCTCTTCTATACGCCACCCCATTGGTGGATCCACCCTTGTAATTGACACTCCTTCGCCGAAAAATTACAGATAGGTAATTTTTATTTACTAGTTTTCGAACACCACGTGTATTCCATGTTAATTAGTATAAATTAACAAAAAACTAATAAGTTTTGGAATCTTCAATCATGTTTGTGCAATATTAACAATTATTATGTATATTGGATCTCTCAACCTTTTGAGGGGGAAAGGAACTCCATCCAGAGAATAGAAATGAACTGCTTAGTATTTTTTTCTTGTAAATAATAGTGACTCCATACTTGACATCATAGAATCCATGTAAGTTTTTGTTATCATAGAATCTCTGTAAGTTTTTGTTTTAGGGGAATTCTTATCTTTTATTTTTTCTTGGAGTATGTATGTTCTCACTTCTAACTGCACAATCTGTGTGATGTTCTATTTATAAAATTGTAAGCATCATAAAAAAAGAAGTAGATATTACTATAAACATTTACCATTAATGTATCACGTTATATAATTTTTTATACAGTCTAACAATTCAATTTTTATTTTTACACTAATCTTCTTCTGTTTGCAAAGTGTCCCACTTATTAGTTACTATTACAAATCACCACCCCTCAAAGTAGCAGTATAACACAAAAGGTAACCAATTATTTTACAACAAATATATAATAACAAAATCAAATAAAGATGCCAAAGATTGCAGCAATCTAACTTCCAGCATTTGGACCACTACAAAATATACCAAAATGGAACATGAATCAGACACAATAAATAATGAGAAGAAAATCAAGAAGAATTCAAAAATTAAACATGTGATATGTTGCAGAATGAAGTCCGGCAAAACCAATGGATTTTTTGAGGAAAAGAAAAAATTTGACAGAACCAAAAGAAACGAATATAATGATTAGACAATTTGATGTGCATTTTCATAGAGTGAAATAAAGAATTTATGCAAAAATATTACACTACTATTACCCTAGAAGATGAAAGAAACAAAACTGAAATATAAAAAACTATATGACTTCCCATCAATAATAATCACAATAAATAAATAGAGTAGTTAATATATCATTTAAGATGGCAAGAACCAATGTTCCCACGTAATTATATATTTATTGTATTTTCATGTTCTTATGCATTGTATATGAAAATATGTTTAGTAGATTAATAAATTTATTAAATATGCATTTACATTTTTGTACAAAAGTGTTATAGAAATAATGTTTGTCTGAAGGGTATAATGAGCATTCATCTTTTGATGGGTATTTTTATAATTCAAGTTTTTACTTTGGGGTTTCCTACTTATAATATAATATGATTTATGTAAATACATATTATATGTTGAATCCCCTTAACTTTATATACTTACTTCTTTATATCTTGATTCCCTTTAGTGAATATTCTGGCTCCGCCATTGACCGACTCCAATAAAAAAAAGAAAATTTATACTGCAAGTGTAGGCTGTTGGATATATCAAGAGTAGCAAATGTATGACAAGTCACATGATCATAAAAATGATGTTGATTCCTCTAGAAGAGATTGAATTAGTTCAAGAAAAGACAGATGAGGTTATTGACCAATCATAACTTGGACTATGTGGTCGATATTTGTGTGGATTTCCACATGAAAATGCAGCTCAAAAATGGTTGATGAAATTAGCAAAATAACTTGGACATCTTGTATCATGTTAAGGTGTAGAAAATATAACTTAAAAATTTATATTGCTCAAACTTTCCAAAAATAGTGTCATATTCGTGTTGGATTATTCAAAAATACACTACTTTTGGTGTATCTGACATGCACCCAGTGATACTTTTAAATAGTCCGAGCGACATAGCTTAAATTTAAAGTTTTCTTCCTCATAGATCTATCTATGTAATTAAAGATGATGTTTGGTTACTCTACATTTGACTTAGTGAGGTTAAGTTGAATGAATTGTCTTACACTTTCTCTTATGTTTCTTGTTTAATAAGAACTAGACATATTACTGTCTTTAATTTGAAAATAATAATAAAGGGATTATGTACATAACTATATTATGGTGTTCAAGAATTCCACTAATCTACTTTTGAATGGTCTAAGTTGGTCTTAAGAATTTCACCGTATTACAACAACAATAACAACAACAACCCAGTAAAATCTCACTAATGGGGTCTGCGGAGGGTAGTGTGTACGCAGACCTTACCCCTACTCCGAAGGAGTAGAGAGGCTGTTTCCGAAAGACCCTCGGCTAAAAAAAAATAAAAAGACAAAAGGACAAAAAGGAGACAATATTAGTATCACAACAACAATCATAGGAAAAATAGGAACATCATAAAATCCAGAAGAAAGATGCAAAGCAAAGGGAGACAATATTAGTATTACCACAACAATCATAAGAAAAATAGGAACACCATGAAATCTAGAAGAAAGATGCAAAGCAAAAGCGATAGCTAGTAAATAGGACCTGCACTGAAAAGCAAAATAGTAAGACACAACATTGCCACTAGCTATCTTAGACAAAAACCCTACATGGCTAGTCCCACAATGGTACGAAGTAAGGCACGACTCAACTACCTCCTAACCTACAACCCTAATGCTCGACCTCCACATCTTCCTATCAAGTGTCATGTCCTCGGAAATCTGGAGCCTCGCCATATCCTGCCTGATCACCTCTCCCCCAATACTTCTTAGGCCGCCATCTACCTCTTCTCGTGCCCTCC